TTCTGTAATATTTAAACAATCAAATATGATTAAATACAATTATAATGATGAAAAATCATCCGTTAGTATATAATTAATAAAATTTAATTTATATGTTTTGGATGCACATAAACTCATTGTTCCTGATAGTCGATATGAATTATATTTAATGTCATTTTAATGGAATTAACTTCTATTATTTTTATTATGTATTTCTTTCTTTAATGCTGATACACATCATGATAAATGAAGATGATTAATTTAATTTCATGAAATTTATAGGCTGTACTGCATTTATTTAAAATAATTAATCACAATAGCTAAAACTTTTATTTAACTTTCAGGAATAAATTCGCATAATATAAAGACTCTTTTCCTTACAAGGTTTTAACTCAATAGCTTTTAGTATAATTTATGAGTGCTTAATGGAAGCTTCGAAAAATGAAAAGCGAAATATTAAGCTATCAGTAGAATTGACCATTTACACTGCTAACGTTTTAAAATAGCGTTGAAAATTCTGAAACTCTTCCTATAGATTATATAAACATTTATTTTTAAATTCACACTAAATTCTTCTGGAAAATATGTTTAATGGGCTAGAAGTTTCGATTTAAGCAAAAGATTAGATGTCTATATATACTGAATCACGTTTGAAAACAAAACAAGAATTTATAGATAATGCAGCAAATTTTACAACACTTTTAGGTATACATTATTATCTGGTGTATCATGGGATGCAAAGAATAAAAGCAGAAGCTTTCTCGCGTAATGTAAAAGCGCTAGCTTTAGAGTGAAAAAGAATCTTATTTTTTCTGCTATATAGTCAAGTCTTTGGGGGATAACGTTCAGAAAATTTTTCGAGGCTTTTAATTAACTGTTGAAATTCTCGAGCATTAACACAAAAGACATATAATTCGACTCGAATGCTCCAAAAGGGGATGTTTAATGAAGACTGGTATAATGATGGATTTGATGAAAAGCCTTTTAAACGCACAAGTTGCATAGTTCTACAAGGAAGCGCTATAATATATATTCATTTGAGTCAAGAATAATTAGTCTATAAAAATCAAACGAATATAATTAAAAAGCATAACTAAAATACTGAAAAATGTTTGTATTATTATTAGTATATGTAAAATTACTGATAATGCATTTTATTTCTAAATTGACATTATCAATGGAGTGACAAAACTGCCTATTTTTATTCCTTTCCTCATGAATAGCAAGGCATTACTATCCATGAAAAGTGTAAATAAAAAAAACAAGAATCATTCATATAATTAAAAATCAGAAGAAAAACATAGCCTCGCGCGTGCTTGTTTTCCATTTATTTCCTTTATTACGTGTGTAGGCAAGACGTCATTACTTGGTATGGAACATGATATGAGTAAGTATGAATTTGATAGCACGAAATGTGAACGTAGATTTTAAAAAAAAACTTTTATGCAGACACCACATTTCTTGTACGGAATATTAAATTATACCCATTTCTTGCTGCAATTCATTTAATTTTATTAGAGATATATTTCTCATTTAATTAATTCATTTCTCCCTTCGCGATAAGGTAAAAGTACATAAAACCTCAAAACATCTTCAATAAAAATCTTAAAACACAGAAAAACATAAAACACCAAAGACATCTAAAACAATTAAAAAGAAACAATTAAAGTTAGAGTTTCTACGCGAAAACAAGGATTTTGGCCAGTGGGCAAGAAGGCGGGTTTTTCGATGCACAAAATGGATCCCACTCCGCAAAAAGATATTGAAGGGGCAGAAACTGACTGAATTCAAAATTCTATTCAGTTTCAAATGTGAACAAATGGTGATTCCTTAGGCTTAACAAGCTACTTTTAAATTGTTGCTAATTCTAATTAATTTATATACGATAGGTGCAGCCGATTGCAACGAAGAATGGAGATGTACAACTATGTGCTATAGCAGTCCCATATACAAAATTTCAACGTTCTACGGCTACTCGCTCTTGCGTTTGGCGAGATACATACATGCGTACGTACGGAGGGACTGATGTACAGATGTCAAGAAAAAATCCCTCCTAAATCCATTTTAAATCCAATTTACAATCCTTTTTGGCAAACTCAGTCCTTTATTCTGTCCATATGTACAGATGTCACGCAAAAACATCGTTTAAATGGTTTCGTGAGTGGTTGAAAAGGATATTTTAGTTAACATATGCTCGAAATTTTTCGCGATTACAGTACTTTCTTTACTTCGTACAAGAAAGTAAAAAGAGTTTCCTTTTATAAAGTTTCGTTTTACTCCTACATATTTTTGTCATCTAAATTTAATATGAATTGTAAAGGTTACTAATCCTACAGACAACAGGAAAAGAATAAAGAGATTCAGCATAAAAAATGTCGCAGATAAACGTAAAATTTGCGTATATTGTAGGGTTTATATTTATTTTAACTAACATTTATTTTAAGTTTAAGCTATCTTTCCTGTCAAGCCTTTACTTTTCCCTAGAATTGCCAATGCTAGTATGTAAATTGTAGTAGAACGCGCAGTATATTCAAATTTTAGCAGAAGTAAGTTCTCGAGCTTAAATATAAAGGAAGCTCTCGAGTTTAAATATAAAGGAAACGAGTTTGTAAGTGTGCTTCTTGAATCGCTAATGTGAAGGTTGCTAGGTAGAAATTTAAGAACCGCGCGTTTCGGCCTGGGTGCCTATCTCGGCAGTTCGCTGAATTTTTCAACTGCTTAATCAGTAAGCTCGCTGAATCTCAGCTGTATTTTAGAACGCGGTTAGTTTAGTTACGATTTCAGAGCCACGTAGGTAGTGATCTAGTTGTTTATTCATCCTGTCATTAATTTTTAGTTTCACAGTGTTTTTGTTAAACCGCCGGGTCGGCGTAGTTTGTGAGCGTCAAGTAAACGCAGCTGTTATTTCTAAAGTGGAATAAAAAGGGCTTTTAACCCTTCTTACGAGTTTGTGTAATTTACAGTTCATAGCAGTCACTTCCATAGTTGCTGACAAGTTGGGGCCACGCAACACTATAATATAATCACTGCATTTTTAACTTTACCAAAGTGTTATTTTTACTGTTATTACTTGCAGTAAGTATGTGGCAACTCCACAGCTTTGATGAAGTTGGACTGTCTTTAAACGAAACTGTAATCAGCTGTAACTCTAATTTTTATATTATACTCTTAATATAAACTGGGCTAAATTATAAACCTGCAAGATTTTCAGTTCAAAATTAATATATAAATAAATAAAAATGTAGTTTTAAGGAGTAAGAAAAGGATTAAGAAAATGTAGAAACTATACATAACATTTCTGTTGCTACAAATTAAATTACAAGAATATAAATAGTATAATATACAGGCGGTTATACAAAAGTCTTCCCTGATATATGAACTGTAGCTGTTTGTACGCTCAACCAGTCGAAATGGCATTTAAGGTATTTGAAGGTATGCACTCGAGATTAGATGATTAATACAACAGATCTCTCATGGTTACGATTATGGTTAAAATATTCCCAAATTCTCGAATGGCAACACCTACCTTTTCCTGCGCAAATTGATAAGCGCACTGAAAAACCGTAAATAAAACCACTGACTTAAAGATCCCCGAATAATGAAAATTGCCGGCGTAAACCATTTGCAAAGAAGAGTATTGTAAAGAAACATTGACAACACAGAGAGGAGGTGAATTGACGCGCTTTGCATAATTCTTCGAAAAGGTCAGTTCTATAGACATGAAAAACATACTGCATCACAACAATATATACAACAACAGTAAACAACAATGTTTCAGAATTATATTATTTCAGAAATGTAGCAGCGAAATGTCGTTAATATCATTGTTTGAATGCAAGTTAGTGCTCCTGGATACATTGCCACATGTTTTCGGCAAGTGTTGCAACAGTACTTCAGAGACAGAGTCATCTCCCGTAACTTTGCATTTTCCGAGCCACCGCGATCCGTTAACCTCACTACGACGGATTTCTTTCTGCACTTTGCCTAAAATCTAAGGTCTACACATCAAATTTACGAGATTTGTCAGAATTGAAAGACGCCATAAAACGTGAAGTTATACTGATTCCTCCAGCTATGTTCCGTTCGTCATTGTTATCAACAATCTCCCACATGCAAGCGCTACTGAATCTTTGAAGATGGGCACGTTGAAAACTTACAGTTCCAGAAAATGGTTATTCCTTCTCTTGTCTTGTCATTGGTTTTACAATTCATGTTTTTTCAAATTTTTTAGGCCATCAAATGTTTCATACGTGTATCCTTCTAGCGCTATTTATCTTTTCAGTACGTTGATAAATTTTTGCAAGAAAAAAGTGAGTGTTACCATTCAAAAATTTCCAAATGTTTTCAAAATAACTATAATCTTAAGAGCTCTGTTGTTTCAAATCATCACAATCTCGAGCGCATAGCTTCAAACAAGGATACCTGAAATTCCATTTTGCATGATTGAGCGTATAGGGATTCTTAAATCCTGGAAGCGCTAGGGATTCGTAAATCCTGTTTTTCTTACGTTTCTTTACGACCAACCTTAAAGTTTTCTTACGAATAGCCTGTAGATATAGTGGAAATATAGATGTCTAAAAGATAGCATTCGCTTCAAAATTTTAAAAGTAAGTTAGCTGGGAGATTAATTTTGATTTCCTGTTGTTCTTCCTTAAGAAATGAATTTTTAATTCAATGAATAGTTGAATTTTAAAATTAAATTTTTTTAAATGCACAATAGAAACGAAGCTTAATTGTTCTTTTAATATTTTATATTCTATTAATATGAGCTTAATTATTCGTAAAGTTGGTGAAGAAAATACTATTACAGTCCAAAGAATCATGTTTCATATACTGTGCAATAAATAAAAATTAATTTTCAATATTGGAAATGTTGTTCTAATTTTGCTATGCCGAAATTCGATAGCTGCGTGAACCATGTTTTATTCCGTTCTTCATATTAACTAATGAATTAATTTACATTGAACTGTCTTGTAATATTTTTTATCTTAAAATTAATTCATAATATTTTTACATGCTTTCAGCTGGACCGAACTCCAGTGCACTGGGCAGCTTCCAAAGGTCACATTGAAATTCTGAGCTTACTCCTGCAGGCGAAATGTGACATCGAAGTAGTAGATAAAGTGAGTTTTTTCTTTACATACCTGTCGTTTTCTAATCATTGCTCCAAACTCTGTGTATTGTATGCAAATAATAAAATTCTTCCAGTGCTTTCCTTTAACACTTGACAGAAAAAAGTATCAAAGGAAAATGCGGAAGACGTTAAGACAGTACTAATTTTAGGAATTAAGGCAGAAAGTGTAGTAACTCTAAATAAAAGCATTCAATTCAGTTGCACAGTATTTTGATATCGCTTTCAGCATCACATTATATGGAACATAATCTAAGAATTATAATCATTTTATGGACAATAATTCTGAAAATATATTTTATAGCTGAGTTACCCTGTTTACGATTTTAATATTTTCATACATTTTGATATCATATGCATTATATATATATGTATGACGCTATAATCCAAGAATTATTTTCTTGTCATTGACAATAATTCTTCACTTACGTTCAATAGCTGAATTATGTTCCATACATTTTTCTATAACTATATATAATTATATGTACTTTATATAATTTGATACAGATATATGGTATTGAATTAAAAAAAAGATTAATTTTCACACATTCATGAACAAATTAAAAAATTATCATTACTTCACTCATTGTAATCATTATTAATAATTTTTAAGCCGCAAAATTAGGAAAGTTGCATAGGGAATAGAATATCGGTAAATAGTTTTTATAATAGAAAATAACAGTACAGTTTACATCAATTTATGACAAATTTCGGATTTTATCCTGACCACATACGAGTAATTAGGAGCTTTACTGTCAAATTTGCCACTGAAAAGAAGACTAATATTCTTTTTTCTGCTTTTCGAGAAAATATGCCGACTGTTAATATTTTTAACTTGTCAGTTAGAAGTATTAAGACTTTCAACACTCATTGATAACCCAACTGATAAAGCCAGTTAACCTTGTACCGCAGTGCATGAATTCTATGCAAAAGTTCTTTGGCACCATATAATAGGTTACGTGATTCCGATTAGATTACCAATTGTTGGTTTTCTCGAATTTTCTAGACAATATGCATACGCTTTATAGAAACTTTGTAGTCGTTTTAAAGCGTTTTGGTTTTCTTATTCTAAATGTTAATAAGAGAAGTCAAAATAGTTATTTTTAAGATTTTAGATAATTATTTTTAACGTATTGGAATGAAGTGTAATTTATTAACTCTATTCAGTCAGAAATTGTCTTTATGCTTAAGTGAAATTTTGTCAGAAATACATTGATTACAGAATCAACTTCTGAACACGAACAATGAGTGACAAAGATTCAGATAGTGAATGCCAGAATTATGACGGCAACTGCACAAAACCAATAGAGGTGATTCTTTTCACGAAATAGTACCTATTTTGATTCATCTGCAATCTTACTTTTCTAAAAAAACATCGTGCTGGCTTCAGTTGTGTATGGATTGAGATGGTAGCACGCAAGCTACTTGCCTCTTGTAACTTCTGCTTTGCATCATAGGAAAAAGTGGCAGAACTAAGCACGCAAGCATGCGAATGGGCTTATGATCACTGAAAGTCTTTACTCGTCACGGAGGAGTACGTAAGTACATTATTATTATTATAATGCGTTCCTCTAAAGCTATTTATGAATTTCATTTGATATGCAGAGAAATTATACCCAATATTGTTCAATAATGCCCATCGAAATGACAATTATAAATGGAGGTTAAAGTTTCAAGCATGTTTTGGGACAACACTTTGACAACTTGGAAAACATTAAAAGCATTCCCCACATACGCAATGGTTATGGTGTTGGTGTATTTAATTATGGCAAAGCACACGAGGGCTATCTGCCTAAAGGGAGGGATGCCTTTCGTGGAGGACTTTCTAAGGGAAACTGGCTCGTATACACACATGGGGAAAACCACGAAAACGCCCATGCAGCCAGCCCGTTCGCGGGATTCGAACCTCAGACCGAACTACCAGTGTTCAGCGTCTTTACCGCTCGGCCGCTGGTGGGCCCGCAATGGTTATGCAGTTTCCATAAAAGTCCTTGTGATGCAGTGCTCAGCATATTTAAGTAGCAAGTGGAATATCCGTTCTTCGATTCACAGCGAAGACATAGTTGATTTTCCCATTCCAGAAAATCTAACAGATTCTGCAAACATAAACGCTTACCTACGACTTTATACCAGTAGGTGAAATATGAATGATATTAGATGGTAATGCACGCAAAATTCGAATACTGGAAAAATATTTTCAATAAACAAAGACCATTCAACTTACTGATTTGTTCGGTCTTTTGCTCCAAATCTAACTCATCGTGGATATGCTGCTTGGCTACTACCTCCTATACCTCACTGTTGCAAAGGGTGATCTAGACGTTTGCAGACATAATTTCTCTTAAAGCATAGTCAGGTACGGCGCTAGTGACAGTCTCAGACCAAACGGAAAAAAGGAAGCTCATATATGATTTGAATTACCTACATAACAGAATCATCTAAAAAATCTAGCGATATATACGCACAGCGATACACGCTGCAATTCCTCTAACCCGAAAGTTGAACTTTGACTATACCCGCTGATTCCTTACTGCTTTTAAGCGGACCATCGTATAAAGGACAGTCACTGGGAAGGCAGTTAACTCATCAGTCTCCCAGCTTCTGTTATGCATTTCGTCTTTGCATTATCATTAAGAGCAGCCACGTCATGACAACCGGCACACAGCTTGCATAAATGCAAGCTAGGCTCTGTATATATCGGAACTAGGAACTAGGCAGTTCATTTCCCCTGTGACCAATCACTCATGACATACAGAAGCGGCCAGAGATCAGCCGTGGGGTAAGCTCTTGCCTGTTACGCGCTTAATCAGGAAACGATGAATTGTTCATCATCATTCATCAAGTCCTTTCATCGCGCGGATATGGACCGTCAGAGCAGGTATAGACCAGACGATAAAAAAAAAACATTAATATTTAAGATCATATGATTTGAAATTTCCTCGCATATGCAGAAGAGCGTTTTTTGCCAGACATTGCTTTAGGCAATGGGAGTCGTTATCATCCAAGGTGTTGATGTTCAGAACGAAAAAAGTTTTGTTTCAGCTTTCAGCCAACGCAGTCTGCCGACGTTGATTAATAAATGTCTTCTGAAGTTTTACTCAAAATTCGTGTAATTCGTGTGTTTCCCGTAGCATCTGACATCGTGCAAACGTCGTTGACAGGCCTGCATTTTTTAACGTGCTCGTGGATCTGTGGGTCGATGCTGCAAAGTATGTATTGCCGCGAATGAGAGGAACAACTTCTGTAACGATAAGCATGCGTATGTCCAATGAAACTTGTTTTGTATTGCCTGATTTGAATTACTTTATAGTTTATTCTTCTTGTAAAGCGCACTCAGGCTGTGTTTTGGGAAAAGGTATAAAAATAGCTTTCTCTTATATATCTGATCTACATTTTTAATTTGTCTATGAATTTTAACACCTACCCATCAAAAGTTTTTCTTGTGCTAAATTTCTGGTGAAATTCTTTTTTCTTGCGAAATATCTTTAGTCACTGTGAGTTTTATAATGCGATTATTCATCAAATTTCATAAAAATGCTTTATATACATATTTTGTTTATCATGATTAATTTCTTACTTTTGGAAACAAAATGAGATGCTATAGCAGTTGAATTTTTTGAAATACATTTCATCCGATAATTAAGGAAATATAATTTGATTAGAGAGAACTCTTTTTTGAGTTTAATATAGATATTATTTCCGTAAAACATATTTAAATAAAAAATGTATATTAATATATCTAATAAAAAATTTCAATACGTAAAATATTAAACTAAGTAACTAAGTAAACTAATTAAAACTAAGTAAAATTAAGCAATTAACTTCAAATAATACATATTACTTCAAATTATTGAGTGTAGTTCCCAATATTAAATTATGTTTAATACTAATTTAATAATATCTTAAAATAACTATGATTTATATTTCAAATGATTTAGGACTGATTTCCAGAATTTAATCTCTTGAGAGATTCATGTGTTTTTACAATACTAACAATATCTTTCAGAGGCAGTTAAAATAACTCAGTGATATTTGTAAATGCAGCTTTATATAGAAACGGAAATGAGAATCAAATGCAAAGTGGTAACAACCGAATGTGGAAATTTCAAATTTGTATTAATTATTTAATTTTAATTAGGAATAATAGAAGCAGCATTTTACATCATAGCATTCTATGTTTAATGCGAAGATTCTTTTACTTTACTTACACTCTTAATTTATTTTTATAAAATACCTGTAACACGTACATAAAGAAAACTACTTTAAATCATTGACAAAAAGTAAATATAAACTTCAAAATTTCATTTAGCTGCTTTAATGATTAATGAATTTAAATAAATGTTGATTTTTCCTTAATAATAATAGTTTATTCTTGTTCTTATTATTTTTAATTTATTCATATAGCAGTTTCTAGTTGCATTAATAAAAATTAACAAGACAGGTCTAAAATAAATTTAAATTCAAGTGTATCTTTAAATAAAGTTGCTACAAATATCTACTCCATTTTTTTACATGATATCCATTCTCGTTTTTTATATCACAGGAATTTTAGCAACATGAGATGACTGGTTTTCTTTAACGTCTTTTACTTCTTTCAGAAATTTCGTAATTCATCCTTCTATTTAAATACATAGAAAGATGCATTTCTACGCAGTATATAATCTAGTAATTTACAAAGAGCAAGATGGGAAAAAGAGACAGAAAAAAACATATTTTTTTTAGCATAAAGTTTCTGGATAAGAATAATTTTTACTACAGATGTTGCTGCAGAGAAAAGTACAAATGCTATACAATGTCGAATCGACTAGTAGATAGATTAATATGAAATTCCTTTTGATGCAAGTTCAATAGCGTAACTTTCGTCTTGAATAAATTTCACTTTATATAACTGAATGAAAATATGAAAGGAATTGAATTTGTTTAACTCCTGAGAAAAGTAAGCTTCGTAAGAAGACCACAAAATCGATATATTTTTTTCCTTATAGAGCTATA